TAAAGCTGAACTCAAAAAGTAGGTAGGCCACAAGGTGGCACCATTAAGCCATTTGAATAAAGTACTACTGTTTATAGAAAAAAAAATGTCATTTTTAAAAAATTAATTAACTTTATTACAGAAGTAATACATGTATAGAAAAAAACTTCCAATTGATCTTCCAATGCTTATTTAATTTTTCATTATATGGTTACAGATTATAAACTAGAAACTTCACCAGGTGTGGTGGCACACACTTGTAATCCCAGCAATTTGGGAGTCTGAGGCAGGAGGATAGGAAGTTTGAGGCCAGCCTCAAAAGCTTAGCAAGATCCTGTCTCAAAAAAATAAATAAATAAAAAAGGAGCTGGGGATGTAGCTCGTACTAGAGCACCCTGGGTTCATTCCCCAGTACTCAAAATAAATAAACTGAAACTTCCTAGGGAGGAGATCCCTTGCTAAGAATTTTAAATGTGGCAAAATTATATAATAAAGATTCTGCAAAATACTGAAAAGTATTAGAGTAAAACAAAATATCAGCCAGGCATGGTGACACATGTCTGTAATTCCAGCCAACTCAGGAGGCTGAGGCAGGAGGATCACGAGTTCAGACCTAACCTCAGCAACTCAGTGAGACCCTATCTCTAATAACACATAAAAAAGGGTTGGGGAAGTGATTTAATGGTTAAAACACCCCTTGGTTTAATCCCTGGTTTTTTTTTTTTWAAGCAGTATTAATTTTGTGAGCAATTTATTTATTTTAAGATAACATGATTTCTAAAAGTTGAATTATAACTAAACTTTAATAATTCAAACAAAATAGTAACAAATATTTATACAGAAATACATCAGAAATCCTTGGTTGGTGTTTTTTGATTTTTCTGGGAGAAAGAAGAATTTAGGTAAGGCTTTTCTTTTTATGTCAACCATTAAATACTTGAGAAAAATGAGTTATTTCCTGCATGTGGAAGAGATTTCCAAATATGTTATTGTTTTTTTACACACTTTAAAAAGCTTACTTTRTATGAGATGATTACAAAAGAATATGTGTGCTAGGCTGTTTCCTATAAAGGAAGAAACATCTCTGGATAGTATTTTACTATGGTTTAGAAAGAAGTTCACTTTGAATGAAATGGTTATAGGGAGTTAATTTGGAATGTATATGCTAGACTAGTATTTACCTTTACGTAATCTTTGGTAGAAAAGTTTGCTAAGCTAATTCATTATGTAAAGAAGAATCTTACAAAACAAACTTAATAACTTGGTGTTTTCACTCATGCAATGAGGATAATTTTAGTACTTAACCTTATAAGGTTTCTGAAAGGGTTAAATTAATTATCATAGGAAAAACACTTAGTATCTGCAGTATAATAGTTTAATAGGTGTCAAAAATATTATAACAACTAATATCAGACAAAAAACATATTCTTTTTCTTTTTATTAAGCTTAATTTCCTAACAACATCTATTAAGTAATACCTGAATAACCTAGTTTTAATTAGTATATGAACTTTTAAGTTTATGTTTACATAATGAACTGCCTATTACATAATGAACCCCCTATTATAAAAAGTATTCACACATTTCAAATTAATTTTCTTCTTTACTGGTTAATGAAATTTTAATTATGGAGTAATTGATATCTTGTTGAAAAAAATCACAATAATGGGAATTTTAGACACAGCCAAAGTAGACTAAAATGTTACATATACCACAAAGTGTAAACTCTTTRCAAATTTAGGTATAAAGTAAAAAGTATATCTGTTAGTGGTGGATTCAGCTCTATCTCAAAATTGCTTTTTTTGAATGTTTATTATTTTTGTACTTTGAAAATATAATTTAGAAGATTCTACTTAAAAAATGTCTTTCCTCTAATGTTTTTTCAGAGTACTAGGATATCCTAAAAGGATATAGTCTCAATTCCTCTTTTTAATTTACTTGTTACTACACTTTCAGAAAGAGGATGTCCCTTTTCTTTTTCAAGAACCCAAAGTAAATATTTTCATAGTTTATCTTTATTTAGGACAGAAGACTCAAGGAATTGGAATCCTGGCCATACAATTAATAGGACTTTATTTCCCAGTCTTTTTAAATCTATCTTTAGTTTAAGATGAACTATAACTTTTTTTTTTCTTACCTAACATCTGTGAGAATGTGCAGAACTTAGTGTTTGTTTGTTTTGCTTTTTAGAAGGTGTTGTTTGCTGCTGTTTGTTTATTTTGTAGTGCTGAGGATTGAACCCAGGGCCTCAGGCACACAAGCATTCTATCTGTATCACTGAGCTATATCCATACCCTGGAGCTTAGGTTTCAAGAACAGTCATTCTAAAGTACTAGTGGTTAGGATTTAATGACTTCATCTGAAATGATTCTTGTTTCAAGGTTCTTTGTGGTTATTGTATACTTTGACACAACAGAATCCTTTTAAAAGGATGAAAATAACCCATTCAGGTATAGAAAATGCAGATTTTGATGCTCCATTTAAATATATGATTCATTTTCTCAGTTTTAGTCCTTTTCTTTGACATTAGAAAACGTAGGCAGTAAGATCTGATAAGGTCTCTCCAGCTGTGCCATTTTTTCCTTGCATTTTAATGAAGTGTCTGATGCTTTGATCTCTGATTAAAATTGCTATATAGGAGCTGGGAGCAGTAGCACACACCTGTAATCCCAATGACTTGGAAGGCTGAAGCAGGAGGAAGACAAGTTCAAAACTAGCCTCAGCAAATTAGCAAGACCCTAAACAGCTTAGCTAGACCCTTTAAGAAGAAGAAGAAGAARAAAAAATGCTATATGAGGATAATGCAGTTTGTTCATTGGGACCAAGGAATGTAGCACTTAATCTTATCTTTCTCAGTGACTTTTCAAAATGAAAAATAAATCAATACATTATGTATAGTAGATATAGAAGACCACTTTAAAGTACAGTATATATTTAAATAGAATATCTTCTCTCCGTTAGATCCTAACCATCAAGAATTTGATCTTAGGACTGGGGTTGTAGCTCAGTGGTAAAGCACTTGCCTAGCATGAGTGAGGCCCTGGGTTCAATTTTCAATACCACATAAAAACAAATAAAATAAAGGCTAAGTTATTTTTTAAAAATAGAATATAATCTTAAAGTTTTAATAATTGGCCTAAGATTGTGGGTCTAAAGTTTGAGTAATAAAAGAAAAAGAATATTAGATAGAACTTTCTATCAAGTCATTGACTCGGGCTCCCACCTAAACCTCTCGTTGGTTTATTTAGATTCAGACAAGAGCTGTTTGGCATTAGGAGCACTTGTTTAGTTCTAGGTGGCCACCTCATCTGAAAGGATGATTGATTTAATGAAGGCCATCGGGCAGTTGCACAGAGCATGAGTTTAAATTGTCAGGTTGCACCAGTTGTCCAACACCTGACCCCCAGTTCTGTTTTACAATCCCAGTGTGTCTGCCTCTGAACCAGTCTGCAAACACCTTCCCTTATAGGCCCTGTCCCTTAGGATGCTGGGGCCTGGTGAACAACCAGCATACTTCTGGGGCATAGCCACTTTTACTATGAACTCTTCATGCACCAGGCCTGGTGATTTTCCCCTGCCAGGAACCAGTTCACTCTTGTGGGGAGGTGGGGTGGAGGAGTTATCTGGATATCTAGATATCTCCTCAATCCTAGAAGCTGCCCTGATACTAAAGGATTGAGGTTCTAGGCAAGCTTTCTTCAGTATAGCAGAGTATTGTGCTCAGCCTGTGAGGAGAATAACTTGCATATTGAGTGCTGGAGTCATACAGCTGGTAAGTAGCTGAGCTGGGGTTCGAACCTAGGAATTTCAGCTCCACTCGTATTCTAGGTGAAGTGGTCAAGCTCCTGACAGCCTCCAACCAACAGGAAAACTTCCTCTATGTTGTACGCTCCTAAGGGTAATCTCTTTGAGGAGAGTCAGACCATGTCTTATGTCTCTCCCCCCTTTCCCCACCTGTGAAAGCAAGTGCCACCACACCCATATAAAAGTATTTTTTTCTTAACTGTATCCTCTTGGCTGTTTTCACTGTTCCTCCACACTCTCATAAATAGTATTTTATTTCTAAAAAATGCTTTTGTAAGCCAAGTATTGTAGTGCATGCCTGTAATCACAGCAACTTAGGAGGCTGAGGCAGGAGGATCGTGAGTTCCAACCTAGCCTCAGCAACTTATTGAGGCCCTAAGCAACTCAGTGAGACCCTGTCTCTGATAAAAATAAAAAAGGGCTGGTGATGTGGCTCAGTGGTAAGCACCCCTGGGTTCAATCTCTTGTACAAAAAAGCTTTTTTAAGGATTGGAAATGTGGCTCAGTGGTAGAGTACTTGCCTACCAGGTGTAAGGCTGTGGGTTCAATTCCCAGCACCTCAARAAGAGTTTAAAGAAGTAAAACAGTGCTTTTGTGGTATGATTTGGGAGCCAGCCTCCATTTATAATGTAAAAAGGTATGCATTCTGAATTCCAAAAAATGATTGCGAGTACATTTGTGAGCCAGGTGCAGTGGTGCAGGCCTGTAATCCAAGTGGCTTGGGAGGCTGACCCAGGAGGATCATGAATTCAAAGCTAGCTTCAGCAGCCAACAAGGTGCTAAGCAACTCAGTGAGACCCTGTCTCTAAATAAAATACAAAAAAAAAAAAAAAAATAGGGCTGGGGGTGTGGATCAGTGGTTGAGTGCCCCTGGGTTCAATCCCTGGTACCAAAAAAAAAAAAAAAAAAAAAATGACCGCGAGTATATTTTTGGAACCTAGTTTGTTCTCTGCTGATGGCACATATTTTCATTTTTCTTCTTTCATGCTTTCTTGTTTGTGGGCAACATGGCAGCTCCACATTAAGCCCTTCCTTTCTTGCTTTTCACTGCTTTATTCCTGGTCAGTTACTTCACTAGCCTGAAGAGCTGCTGCCACATGCAGGTTTTCTGGAGAATGCCCACAGGCCCCACTGGGTCTGTCGGTGTGGAATAGACAGCACATTCTTTCTCATGCCACATCTTAGCTATAACTTAAAATTTTTTTTTATTGTATGTAGATCCTTGCTGGCACATTACTGAATATTTTTGTTGAACCTGCTTAAGAATTCAGAGAAACTGTTGAGTGGCCACTGGAGRAAAGATCTGATCTTATACCTGGCGTAAGTACTTATCAAAAAGCACTTGATATATGGTGTTATATTTTTTCAAAAGTTTGTGAAAACCTATTTTTATTATCCAAACCAGTAAATACTATAGGGGAAAATGGGGAGATTACCCTCCAAAACAGGTTCCTATTTTATTGAGTAAATTCTTTTCATGGAGTTAATTTTTTAAAAAAATCATTATTTAGTATTATAATCTGAAGTTTATTTCATCTTGACCTCTATAATTCTTGATCATAAGCACTTTCTCCTCTTATTTGGAATCATCTTGACCAGGTGCACTCTCATCACATCCACTCAGTCATATCAACTGAGTCATCTGTTCTCCAGGATGTCCCCTCCTTCCTGCTGCTATCTTAGGTCAGACTCTCATCATTTCTTGCCTAGATTGCTACATTAACCTATTCATTGATCTCCCTACCTTTAGTATTTTCCTCTTTAATCCAGCCCCTCCATGCTGCTATCCAAGTCATTTTCTGAATGGCAGAAGGTGATACTATTTCTTAAAAATTTTAATGACTTAAAATTCTACAGTGACTCTCACTGAAATTTAAGAATAATAAGCCTTACCATGGAATGTTTGGGAAATTTAGGTAAAGTTCATTAAAAAGCCTTGAGTTGATGCCTGGATCAGAGCAGGGCCTCAGTCTATGTTACTGCCTCTCTTTCCCCCAGAGAACCCACAGCAGCAGCAGAGTTCAGTGTAAAGTTAGCCCAGACCTGGAYGGATGGTGGCTCTGCTGCAGAAACAGACTAAAACGAGGGTGGGCCAACAGTCCCACCAGAATCCACAGCCAGTCCTGCTTTCCTGAATGCCTTGGAGCTTAGACACAAGATGAGATTGGGCTAGCATCCAGTTAGTTCCCTTAGTGTTCCAGAAAGAAAGACTTCTCCTGAGAAATGCAAACTGTGCCCATTTGTGCCCAAGCTTTTGTAACCTTAGAGTAAGAAAGAAATCTCTGTAAATGCATTCTTCTCAGCTTTTATATCATCTTGATTTGGTTTGTTTTTAGTTTCCTATTAAAATTTTCTTTGACAGGCTTGAACTTTTTCTTCAGTGCACCAAGGGGAAGAGAGAAAGAGAGAGATGTTACAGTGGGCACAGTTGGGATTGCTGCTGTTGTCCCACCTCTACATTCCCAGGAAGGCCTACTTTTTCTCATTTCTCTTGTCTTCAGATAGTGGGAGTTTAGCGAAATCATGTATTGAGATGACCACACAACACAACACAATGGGGTTGATAATGTCAAAATGTATGTGAATCTGTGTTGATTTCATGATATTTCCAGTTTTTAAATTCAGTTTGTTATTTTCTTTAACTTTTCTCTTCTATGAAAACTTGAAATTTGTGCTATAAATAACAACATTCTAACAAGTCCTTATTGAGTGCCAATTAAGTTAATTTTTTTTATTCAGGTAATTTTGTTTACCATATAAAATATCACAAATACAAGGAAAAGCAAATATATGAAAGTGAATTACTTACATGGTAAAAAGCAAAACAGAGCTTCATAGTTATTTAATTATAATTTTGATCTAACAAATGTGAAGAAAATGGTATATTTTAATGAAAAATAAAATACAATTGATAACTTTCTTATTGTTTTTTCTGTTCAGTAAAGAAATTTTATTATAGGCAAGCGGCCAAGAGGGTAAGAAATAGTACTTTCATGGTTGACTTCATTGTCTTGATTCAGTTTGGCTTCATCAAATCTCACTCACCTCATATTTTATTACAGGCATATCCTGTTCACATTAGAACAATGTCCTACGTTTTTGTAAATGATTCTTCTCAAACTAATGTGCCCTTGCTACAAGCCTGTATTGATGGAGACTTTAACTATTCTAAACGGCTTCTGGAAAGTGGCTTTGACCCAAATATCCGTGACAGCAGGGGCAGGACAGGCCTTCACCTTGCAGCAGCCCGAGGGAATGTAGACATCTGCCAGCTGTTGCATAAATTTGGTGCTGACCTTCTAGCCACAGATTACCAAGGAAACACAGCTCTTCATCTCTGTGGCCATGTGGATACCATCCAATTCTTAGTTTCCAATGGACTCAAAATTGATATATGGTAAGTTCTTTGTAGTTTTTGAAGTCTAGTAATTTTTTATCATTAGTCTTTAAACCAGTGGTCTAATCTCAAGAGTCTTGATTTTGTTTCCTCATTGATCAGTTGTAATGACAGGTTCAGGAAAGCATTGAAGACAGTGAGATCTTGTTAGGCAAGTGAGAGAACAAAGACTAACTTCTAGATTTATGCTGAAGCAGTATAATAATGAAAATTGTGGCTAATTTCTACTAATTAATTGTATAGTTAAGATGGGGAAAGAAGGAAAGAACTAAAGACGGGGAAAGAAGGAAAGAAGGTAATCTATTGTGAGCTAGACTGTGTTGCTTACGTTGCAATTCATTTCATCCTCAGAACCAGTAGCTTTTAAAGTAATTTGTTCTCTTCATTTTTTACATGAAGGAGTTGAGAAGAGATCACACAGCTATGAGGGACAGAGCTGGAATGTGAACTTAGTTCCTGACTCCAAAGTTCATTTGCCTTCTGTCACATAATATGCCAACTTCATAATCTCTCTGGGGCTCAGGGTCTTTGGACTGAGGAAGTTTGGTGAAATAATGGGTTTTTATTTGATTTAGTAATAGCCTGTTTCTTGAATGAGAAAGATGTCAGGCCACCTTTAAAACTTAGTTTGAGGTTTAAGTGACAGTTACTTGCTGCCCTGGTTTATTGATGCTGCAATGCTCCTGAACCTGAACAAGACAATAAATAATTCTGTTACTGCAGGACAGAATGTGGTGGGAATTAACTGTAGGATGCAGTGTGATTAGGGTTCTGTCTTGGCACTACTGTTAAATAGCTGAGTGAACAAAAGTAGCTTTTTAAATAATTCTTTTAAGATTTTAAAAATAAAATATGTCTAATAACAGTGAGTCTAGAACTAGACTGTCCCATTAATCTCTGAGATGTTCTCTTTTTATTTACTGTCATTTACCCATTTTTTTGTTTGTGGATTCTCCTTTTCCTTTTCCCTGGAAGGAAGAAAGTAGGTTGATTCAAGCATCAGCTTCTGACACTGGCTGTGCTACAAAGTTTATTTTGAGTTAATTGATCCCATTTCTTCACTGAGATCTAAACAAGTAAGAACTAACAGGATAATATAACTGCTTATATATCTTTATTTTTATGAATTTTCTTAGCAATCATCAAGGTGCTACTCCTTTAGTTCTGGCAAAGCGCAGGGGAGTGAATAAAGATGTCATCCGATTGCTGGAATCTTTGGAAGAACAGGAAGTAAAAGGATTTAACAGAGGAACCCACTCAAAACTGGAGACCATGCAGACAGCTGAGAGTGAAAGGTACTTGAGATATAATTGTTTAAGGGGCAAGTCACTAAGTACCTGGATATTTTTGTAGGACCTCAGTGAATTTGATTTCTTTGCTCTCAAGTGTAGGGTTTTTACTTATCTTTGAACTCTATATAGGTCTTTACGTATTCAGATTACAATTGAGAAGCTTTTAACAGAAAGTACTTTCATGCTCCATGCACATAATGTTCAGCCAGCTACCTGCTATATTAGCAGTACAAGGGAGAAGAGATAGTTAAAATCTGAATCTGACAGAAGGAAACAGGAATTTGAGAATTTTAAGTACAGATGACAAAAAGAATCAAATTTCAAAAAAGGAAGAGAAAGATAAGACTGAGAACTTGGACAATATTAGAAAGATCAAAAAGATAGTTTCAAGGGTAGGGAAGTAGAATTGAGAAATAAGAAGAGGGAAAATAGATAAGACTGAACACACGTACAATTCAGTCATTGAAAGTGGCTTTCACAGGAGTTAGAACTAATAAAAGTTGGGTTTCTCTAAGTAATTGAAGCTAAGATGTGGTGACTGATGTCCTAAATATCTCATCACTTTTCATCTGGAGGCAGCAGAGAACACGGTTCAGGAAGTTTTGAAAAGATGGCAAATTATCTTTTGTGCAGCCTCACTGGCTCAACAAGGGAAGTCAGTAGGCCTGGCCTAGTTTTTAGTAGCATTCAGTTTGGTGGATCACCCTGGAGTTTTGGCCTCTACATTATACAGTGGGGTGAGAAGGGTGATGAGTTTACTACTGTTTGTTCCCAAATTTTTCTGTAGAATACAAATGGAACAAAAGAGCCCACATCAGCTGTTCACTTAACATCTGATTGACCAGGACTTCACTTTAGTGTGACACCAGTCACTTAGACCATTGGGATCAGGTATCTGTAGGTTCTAAATGAAATGTTTTTCATCATCAAACTTCCTTCATCTGATTTCTTTGCACCCATGATTGCCTTCCTCCTCCTTTCTGTGCTGGCTGGTATACTACGGGGGACCATTAAAAATGCCACTTTCAAGCTTAGGTCTACTTTGTTTAGATACTTTTACTCATTTTTTTATTATCCTAAAGCAATTTAAGAGTTTACCTCTTAAAGTTCTCATGCTCTTCGTGTTACCATCAAAAACTGACAAATTTTAGATAAATGAAGTTAAAGATGCATTTGCAAGCCCTTTTCTCTCACTTATACAATCTGGGTCAACAGTCAGTGTCGTAAGCACTTTAGCAATGTTAACTATTCTTTGTTAAAGGTCATGTTCCTTCAAGATAATTTGAAATTTATCTTCACCTTTCTAAAATAATATTACATTATTTTAAGCTTCTTTAGTATGAAAAATGTCCAAGAATGTGTTTTTACTTGGTGTATTTTTGAGACCTTAAAAAAATCTGATTGGGCTGGTCATGGAGGTGCATGCCTATAATACCAGTCACTTGGGAGGCTGAGGCAAGAGGATCACAAGTTCAAAGCTAGCCTCAGCAACTTAGTGAGGCCCTAAGCAACTTAGCAAAACTCTGCCTCAATATAAAAAAATATATTGAGGATATGGCTGAGTGGTTAAGTGCCCCTGGGTTCAATACCTAGTACCAAAAGGAAAATCTGATTTTGGCTGAGCTTCCTGATCTCCTAGAGAGTGCTCACTGAATTCTCATTTGATATCTTACTCTTTGAGTATGAAAGCATGTCAGCTCAGACAGTCAAAAAACTTCACATAGGTCAAACTAAACCTGTCCTGAACTTGATCTGCTTATGGTTAACACTTGTTCAGGTCTTCTCAATGTTCTAATCTTTGAAACTTGCTTGTTCTAATGTTCCCATATTATTGTAGATCCATGTCTGGTTTCCATGTCTGGGATAYTATGAATAATGCTGCTATGAACATCTATACACAGTATAAACATCTATATACAATTCTCATATTATTGTAGATCCCTACTGAAAATGTCTTCTCTTATTTAGAGATGAAGCTGCTTCCCCCCAACCCTCCCAGTACTGGGGTTTGAACTCATGGGTGCTATCCCATTAAGCCACTTCCCCATCCCTTTTATTTATTTTTAAAATTTATTTATTTTTTATTTTGAGACAGGATCTCAATAAATTGCCAGCCAAGGTTGGCCTTGAATTTGCAATCCTCCTTTTTCAGCTTCCTTGATTGCTGAAATTACAGGAGTGTATCACTGTGCCTGGCTGAGAGCAAGCATTTTTAATATGAAAAGAGTTTGGATGTTGAACAGACTGGCCCATGAGGAAGGCATCTGGCTGTGACTAGAGAAGCCCTAATACCAATAAAGGTTAAAGGACCTTTCGTTAACAGTGCCAAGAAGTAAAATAATGTTGTAGCATTAAAAAAAACTGCCAGTTTTGTATATTTTCATAGTTCATGGTAAATAAGACTCTAAAGACATTGTTTTGTTGTTTTCATTATTCTGTGCCTAGATAGTTGGAGGAATGTGAAGAGAAAGGGTATAGGAAGGATAGTAATGAGCTTTTATAACCAATAGAGAGTGCATGCCTAAGATTCTCATCTTTATGGCTTTAATCTAAATGATACCATGTTATAGGGCCTGCATGTTGTGACAGAACTATGGGTGCTGATCTCATAAAGCTTTCAGTTCATAATAGTGCTTCCTTCAAATACCAAAGTAGACATTCTGTTTTCTCTCTGGCCATATTTCTCAATGACAGTGTTTTAAATATCAGAATCAGTGTTTTGATAGTGTTTGCACTACTTTATTCAATATTATTTTATAAGACAAGGCCAAAACCACTAGGAAGAAACTATTAAGAATTCCTAAAGACTGGACCAGTCCACATGTACATCAGACTGAGAAATAAGCTTCCATTGTTACAAAATTACATTTGAAGAAGTAATTCCTTCATTGATCAGATTATTGAACTAAAATTAATTAAAATTCTCATTCAACATTTACATTCACACACTTATATGTAAATGCTTATTTTCATTCACATAAAATTTCAAGTTAGGAGTTTTCATTCTGAATCTTCTAAATATTAAGTGTGTTTATATCTTGATGAAAACAACTCATTTGACTATGTCAAGACTTCCTCTTGGGACATATGATTAGGATTTTTAATTTGATTCTGCTAGATTCTAAACCAAGTAATAATCGCTGCAGTTTCTCAATTTATAGTTCAGGGTAAACTGTCCAGATACCTGTGGATATGGGAATGATCAGGGAGGTGAGTGACAGCATATACATAAGTCAGTTTTTTCCTTGTAACTTTGGTATTATAMGTTTGGCCTTTTGTAATTAACATGATTTACTGATTTATGTTTTTGAAATGGGTGAAATGTGTCTTTCTTTATCTTTCCACAGTGCCATGGAAAGCCATTCTCTCCTCAATCCCAACCTACAGCAAGGTGAAGGAGTCCTTTCCAGCTTTCGAACCACRTGGCAGGAGTTCGTAGAGGATCTGGGCTTCTGGAGGGTCCTGCTCCTGATCTTTGTCATTGCTTTACTGTCTCTTGGCATTGCCTACTATGTGAGCGGAGTGCTACCCTTTGTGGAAAACCAGCCTGAACTGGTGCATTAAAGGAGCTCAAGGAGATGAGGCAAATGATTATTTCTTGGCTCCCAACATT